TATGGGTGGCTAGGTTTCCATTTGTGGCTCGATGCTCATCTTCCAGCAGTTGACTCATCTTCCAGAGGGCAGCCTGACTTCCTGTAGGATGACCATCTTGGCCTGACTTCCAATTGATGGCTAGGTTTCCATTTGTGGGTCATCTTCACTTGGATTCCTATGGTGTCTAGGTTTCCATTTGTGGCTAGATGCTTATCTTCCAGCAGTTGACTCATCTTCCAGAGGGCAGCCTGACTTCCTGTAGGATGACCATCTTGGCTTGCCTTCCAATTGATGGCTAGGTTTCCATTTGTGGGTCATCTTCACTTGGATTCCTATGGGTGGCTAGGTTTCCATTTGTGGCTAGATGCTTATCATCCAGCAGTTGACTCATCTTCCAGAGGGCAGCCTGATTTCCTGTAGGATGACCATCTTGGCTTGCCTTCCAATTGATGGCTAGATTTCCATTTGTGGGTCATCTTCACTTGGATTCCTATGGGTGGCTAGGTTACCATTTGTGGCTAGATGCTTATCATCCAGCAGTTGACTCATCTTCCAGAGGGCAGCCTGACTTCCTGTAGGATGACCATCTTGGCTTGACTTCCAATTGATGGCCAGGTTTCCATTTGTGGCTTGATGCTTATTTGTGGCTCATCTTCCAGCAGGTGGATATCTTCCAGCAGGTGACTCATCTTCCAGCAGGTGACTCATCTTCCAGAGGGCAGCTTGACTTCCTGTAGGATGACCATCTTGGCTTGACTTCCAATTGATGTCTAGGTTTCCATTTGTGGCTTGATGCTTATTTGTGGCTATCTTCCAGCAGGTGGCAATCTTCCAGCAAGTGACCCATCTTCCAGCAGGTTACTCATCTTCCAGAGGGCAGCTTGACTTTCTGTAGGATGACCATCTTGGCTTGACTTCCAATTGATGGCCTGGCTTCCATTTGTTGCTCATCTTCCAGCAGGTGCCTCGGTCTTCCAGAGGCCAGTTTGGATTCCTGTTTGTGGTTCAGATTCTAGTGGGCTTCTAATCTCCAGGCTAAAGGTAAATCTGAAAGCAATACTGTAGATTAGGAAATGAAATATTGTACTTACTTGACTATGATCCGAGAGACCTCTCCTGTCTTGGACAATGCTACTTTAGGCGTATAAAGACATCACCAATGGTAGTTATAACAGTATGATATGTGGGTACAAACACTGTAGACGGATGGTGTAGACTGTGGTTCCTCTCTGACACTTCTCGGACAACACAGAATTTTTCATGGCCAGGGTAAGAGGAGGGCACCTGGAAGTACATACAAAATAGGAAAAAGTCAGCAATGAGATAATGACTTCTTGTAGGTTCAACCGATTGCTTGGAAGCAGTTAAACTCAAACCAAAGTTGACTTGAGGTTGAGTTTGACTGAGGTGGAGTTGATTTTGGGTTGAGATGACCTGTCACCTGTATGTAAATATGACGTGCAAGAACCAGAGATGATTTCACACTACCCTACCACGTGATCACGTTTAAAAGGGAAACAGGCTACAGTTAAGTTGCAAATGAGGGACGTGGGTTTAATTCCATATTTCTGAACGTTAAATACATTTTACATTCATTTCTTGTGATCTACCAGACATAAAATAGATTCATCAAGCAGTTTGTAGAATATTGTTGGCAAAATACAAAGGCAAAGATAGAGAATAGTGGGCGCAGGGAAGCATAACTCTAAAGCAATACAAGAGACATTTCAGTAAATCTATTATCTATCTATTAAAGTACAGGGAGCGTGTAAGCTTCACTTCGAAAATGTTACTTATTTTGACATTGGTATGTAACAAAAAAACAGTTAACTGTTATTTAAACTGCGTGTCATTGTGTTATATGTAGATATATTTTCTAGCTTGTTATTCAACTGTATTTTCGTGAATCAATTGTTTTTCTCAAATCTTAAGATGAATAAAAAGTCGTCCAAGAAATGTATCTTTACTTTGATGTAAGGCACAACATATTGTGAAACATTTTTCCTCTTTCCACAAAGAGGATAATGTTTGTTTTAGGGTGTCTGGCGATGAGCGTTTCATGATTAAATGCAAAATCATTGGAGCAGATACCATCCAAAAACATCTGACATTCAACATGTCATATGACTACATCACAAATAATAGTTTTCACTCGGAGTTAAAAGCTTGGGTAAGCATAGTAATAGTATAATGAATACATTTCCTACAAACACACTAATTGTACAGCTCTATGTCTAGTCAACATTCTAAATGGATGAGCATTAATCGACTAAGTATTTGTCATCCTTTATGAATGAACATAAATGGACTAAGCATTTGTCATCCTTTATGGATGAGCATAAATGGACTAAGTATTTGTCACCCTTTATGGATGAGCATTAATGGACTATGTATTTGTCATCCTTTATGGATGAACATAAATGGACTAAGTATTTGTCATCCTTTATGGATGGGCATTAATGGACTAAGTATTTGTCACCCTTTATGGAGGAGCATAAATATGGACTAAGTATTTGTCATCCTTTATAGATGAGCATTAATGGAGTAAGTATTTGTCATCCTTTATGGATGAGCATTAATGGACTACGTATTTGTCATCCTCTATGGATGAACATAAATGGACTAAGTATTTGTCATCCTTTATGGATGGGCATTAATAGACTAAGTATTTGTCACCCTTTATGGATGAGCATTAATGGACTACGTATTTGTCATCCATTATGGATGAACATAAATGGACTAAGTATTTGTCATCCTTTATGGATGATCATTAATGGACTAAGTATTTGTCATCCTTTATGGATGAGCATAAATGGTATAAGTATTTGTCATCCCTAATGAATGTGCATAAATGGACTAAGTATTTGTCATCCCTAATGGATGTGCATAAATAGACTAAGTATTTGTCATCCTTTATGAATGAGCATAAATGGTCTAAGTATTTATCATCCCAAATGGATGTGCATAAATGGACTAAGTATTTGTCATCCTTTATGGATGAGCATTAATGGTCTAATTATTTGTCATCCTTTATGGATGAGCATAAATATGGACTAAGTATTTGTCATCCTTTATGGATGTGCATAAATGGACTAAGTATTTATCATCCCTAATGGGTGAGCATAAATGGACTAAGTATTTGTCACCCTTTATGGATGAGCATAAATGGACTAAGTATTTGTCATCCTTTATGGATGAGCATAAATGGACTAAGTATTTATCATCCAAAATGGATGTGCATAAATGGACTAAGTATTTGTCATCCTTTATGGAGGAGCATAAATATGGACTAAGTATTTGTCATCCTTTATGGATGAGCATTAATGGAGTAAGTATTTGTCATCCTTTATGGATGAGCATAAATATGGACTAAGTATTTGTCATCCTTTATGGATGTGCATAAATGGACTAAGTATTTATCATCCCTAATGGATGAGCATAAATGGACTAAGTATTTGTCACCCTTTATGGATGAGCATAAATGGACTACGTAAGTATTTGTCATCCTTTATGGATGAGCATAAATATGGACTAAGTATTTGTCATCCTTTATGGATGTGCATAAATGGACTAAGTATTTATCATCCCTAATTGATGAGCATAAATTGACTAAGTATTTGTCATCCCTCATGGATGAGCATTACGTGTATTAAGTATTTGTCATCCTTAATGGACTAAGTAAAATATATACATGTCCTCCCTAATTGATGATCAAAAGTGAAATATGTACAGGTCACCCTTAATGAAATATGTACACGTCATCCTTAATGGATGAGCATAAGTGGAATATAAACATGTTGTCCTAAATAGGTGACCATAAAATGAATAAAGTACGATTCATTTTTATAAACACTAATGCATATTGATTTGAAACGTGTTTAAACTTCAGTACAATATGAATATGTCCAAAATACTAGGCTTGAAATTATAGCAGTTACATCAGTTTTCTAAAAGTATTAAGTTTTCTCAATAGGTGGCCAACAAAAATGGTGGAGTAATTTACCCAATAGATGTCAAATAACACAAATAAAAATGGTGGAAATAGAACTTTTGCCAAAGGAGTGGCATTGATATGGAGAACTGAATTCAACAATGTTTTCTCTTAAAAAAATCATTGAAAACATTCTGTTAAAAAACATGTTATTTTATGTAATGTTGACTGATTTGACAACATTTAAATGTGAAAATTAATTAGAAATATTTTATATAACTGTTTTTGTTTTTTAGTGCAATTGTTTTTGCTCCTTTCTACCAATTCTTGAGAATGAAATAAAATGTCTTTCCGAACCTTGTTGGAACAAAATAGCATATACAACATGTTTTTCGACCTCTCAATATTATAGTTATATGAAGGAATTTTTGGTTGATTTTAAAAAAAGTATTAAAAAAGTTATAAAACAAAATCCCCCAAAATAGCACGGACGTCAAGTAAGTTTCTGGCGAAAGCCGGAGCATAGATTATTTAAGAGGAATGGAACAAGTTTGAAGAAAAACGGTGTAGGGTGAGACTCACAATCATCGATTTTCCAAAGACAGGGTAGATTTGAAATTCAAATTAACGGTTTTGCGGGGCGTTTTGGTTTCGATATGCCCCGGAGAGTTAGTACCGCATGATCATATAATGTTTATTGATGACATGTTGACATTGCTGATCATTATTGACATCGCTGATGGCGAATAAATACCAAAAGGTAACGCTTTGCGCCAATGTCACTCATGGTGAATTTCTGATGGAACTTCTTACTACGACATAATAACCATTTAACAGGATAGTGTATGACCACTATCAGATAATTTAACCGAGTTGTTTGTACTTCACAATTTACATTTGTTGTTTACAATCGCACGAGACATTTGAGCCAGGGTATGTGAGGCTGATCTGAGAAGTCTTAATAAACAATAGTTCTGTCAAAAAATGATTAAATTAAATTACATAAGATTCGGAATGAAAGTGCCCCGTCTATATTTGATTAAAAATAATTAGTGCGTTGGGCAAATAGAATCCTTTTTATTGTAGTTGGCTTGGCTTCCATTTGATGCTCATCTTCCAGCAGGTGCCTCGGTCTTCCAGAGGCCAGTTTGGATTCCTGTTTGTGGTTCAGATTCTAGTGGGTTTCAAAACTCCAGGCTAAAGGTAAATCTGAAAGAAATACTGAACATTAGGAAATGAAATACTGTACTTACTTGAACAGGATCCTAGAGACATGTCCCATCCTCGACAATGCTATATGAGTCGCATAAAGACATCACCAGAAGTAGTCAACAATGTGGAGTGCGGATTCAAATGCTGCAGTCAGACTATTCAGATTGTAGTTCAGATTGTAGTTCCTATCCAACATTTCTCAGACAAGACAGAGCTTTACATCTCCAAGGTCAGAGGAGTGCATCTGAAAGTACATACAAAATAGGAAAAGTCAGTAAAGCTCTGAGAAGCATTATATTTTACAAGGATCTTACTAATGCAATAACCCGTAATTGCCTGCTGTTCACTCATATGGGTAATGAGTATAAACACAAAAGTGAATACTATGCCAGCAGTGTGAAACACTAACAAACCGCATGCCTTTCAACATTGCATCATACAAATTGGAGTCAGTGTTTTCAAACATCATTTTAAGACATTAATTCTGTTTTAAAACTGTTTTATAGTTTTATACGTCCATTCAGTGACTATTATTTGATTTCAACATGTGATAGCAAAATCTGTGCCCAGATGAAAGTAGGACTCGGAATATAAGCAGATTAATAAAAAATTTTCGTCATAGTTTTGAATACCAACACATAAGCTGATGTCACAATTTTCACAGATAGAGAAGATACTTGGGTTTTGTTTTAAAGGAAATCTCAACCCAGTTCTCTCGTACATGTACAATACAAAATATTTTGTACATAAGTCAGATAATCATGAGAGAAAAAAGTAATAAAACACAAACTCTGCTTATTTTAGCAGAAAACACTAACTGTGTGCATCAAAAGATTTCAAATAACATTAATGCAGACCTGTCAACTGTCCCGCAATTTGCGTATTTGTCACGCATTTGCTGAAGAATTTGAAGTCACGCCAGTTATTTTTGCGTGACAGAAAATGTCACGCAAATACGCATTTTACCTGGTAATTGTCACGCAAAAATATTTCTGTAGAAAAATTTCTAAAAAAGATCGTCTACACAGCAAAAATACGAACGCCGGAAAAAAATGTACGCATTTCGTTCGGACTTTTCACGCGAAATACGAACATGTCACGCATTCCGTTCGAAATTTTTCGTACCTACCCCCAATAATGCTGTCCAAGCATTGAAAAAACGCAAAGAAAAAATGTTAGAGCGGGATATAAAAATGAATTATGTTTTTTGGATGCAGTGCAAGTCATATGGACAAAATCAACTTTGGATGAATGATTTGATAAAGATCTCACCATCGGTATCTTTAATTAATTGAAGGAAATTCTATTTCTAAAACAAGCAAAATTTTCTTTTAAAGTGTCCTTCCCGGAAGTTGATTTCTGATTGAATTGGTATGAGGCATGTGATAGGACAAATAGTAAAACAATACTCCAAGGAGGATTGCCTACCAAAATCGAAGTCTACATTTTCCAGCAATGAACTCACTGAAATGTCGTTAATTTCTAAAATTATAACCGATTATAAATTCCTTACAAAAGTAACTTTAAACAGGAATCCCATCAACAGAGGTTTTAAAACATTCTGCATATTGTTCACAGACAAACAAAAAATTCCCAAAATAAAAAAAATGGCAGCCATATTTAAAGACAGAGTTTTGACTTTAAATGGAAACAAGACTATTTAGGGCTGTGGCGGAATGGGTTCAGAAGGTATGTAATCGAACTTTTGTCTCACGGAATTGAAATTTTTGGAACTCCTTTTGGACCACTACGAACGATTTAAGAGTTGACGTTCATATTTTATTTAGAGAATCAATTGTATCATCGATCACTGATAATAGCTAAATAAATCATGAATTACAAATTTATTGTTATGAAATTGATATGCAATATCTGTAACGGTGCAAACTTAGTTATGAATCATTTGATGCAAATATTTAAACAGTTCGTGTTAATTTACAAACAAACAAGTTGTTTGTATTTCTTATGCAAAGCGAGCCATGTCAAGTAACCACACGCATGCCCTCTTTGCCATATATGGACCCGAAAGGCACGATAATAAATAATGATTGAATTGTAGTAACACATTGACCTGGGGATATGCGTGACAGATTTTGAAAGCTGGTTAACTTCTAACTCAAAGCACGAGAGGAATGAAAAGAAAATGTAAAAATATTTGATTTTTCTGACATTTTTCACTTTTTCGATGGTTTTAGCTAAAGTAGGTGTGAAGAGAGTTTGAGAGTGGCTTTGAGGTAGGTGCATTGTAGGCACAGTGTTCAGTTGAGGTGGGCGCTGCTCCATGAAAGAATATGCTGGGGTGATCATAGCAGTATTTGGGTTATCGCCTGGACAAACGGATGGACAGACAAACGGATGGAAGAACAAACTGATGGACGAACAGAAGGCAACTATCCTTTATCCCCCTCGAACCATGTTCTGTGAGATAAAAAAAATTTGAATGTTTTACGAACATAATAAGAGAGGTATAACCATAATGAATAGTACAGTTGTCTCTGGGCTAGCATGGTGTTGTGTTACTAGTTTGCCGGACAAAAAATTTAGAACCTTAATATTTACCCATATGATTGAAGATGTAAGTATTTTCGATTTTTTCACAGCTTAATGGCTGTTTATTCTTCAAAAAAAGTCACGAGGAGGGATACTTAACCTGCTTATTTCGAGTTTTTAACCTTCATGAAACTTTTATTTTACACATTTGTCTGAATAAACACACTCTAAAATGTGGTTTTGTAGATTTTCTCCGGTTTTTGAGAAAATTGCTACTCAAATTGGGAGTAAATGATGTCAATTTAATACATTTTAGACAATATATGCGATAGTTACATTTCAACATATGCAAGCATTGTGTGCAGTTACACTTTTGCCTCATATATTCACGATTTAAATTAAAGGAGCTGTGCAGATAAATCACATTTTTAAGATTAATCAATTTCATATAATTTTTTTACTTCCTTGTCTGCCATATTGTTTTTAAGGTAACCAATCAAATCAAAGGATTCAACAAAATGGCGCATATGAAATTTACCATTGACTTTTGGTAGTGTGTCACGGAATTGAAACTTTCAGAACTCCTGTCAGACCACAAAGTAAAAGAAACGAAAAAGAATATAACCTACTTGATAAGTTGATATGACAGTGTCTTGGCATAATTCGCACATAGTTTCACATTTGTTTTGATCAATTGGGAGTAAAACTCTATCAATGGATTTGCCAGCCATTTTCACTTTCATGTAAATCTAGATGGCAAACGAAACTACGTATAAGATGTACACACAACTGTACTCGTAAAATATCTGTTAAATGCAACTATTTACCCAGATGTACCATAAATGTAGTTATTTTAGATAAAAATAAAAAGTGCAGGTTGTGAAAACCGTTGATTCCTACTCTCAGTGAAGGCTTAAGGTAATACTCTCAAATCAAAACAATACTTGATTTCATCACTATTTATTATGTCTATGCGACTAATACACATGTACATTTGACGCAGTTTGAAGATTAACATTACAGTGGAAACACTGGACTTAGATATTAACATTATCAAAGCCAATAGTAGGTAAGGTACCAATATTTGTTCCGAAACCCGGAACATGAAATGAGAGTTCTGAACCTGTGTAAAAGAAATTATGGTCCCCTGGGGATTATGGTCCCCTTTCTGAAAGGCCCTTACTGGTCCTGATTGTGGATACGATAATAAGGGAGAGTTGTATTTAGGTCACCATATAAATCAATGGAAAGTAGGACCATAATATGAGAGGACCTCCTACTCTTTTACACCGGTATTCAAGCAAAAGTTTGCAGTTTGGACCGACTTCGGTCAAATGGCATGGCCCTACTTTATAGACAAAAATGGCTGACAATAAAATGGACATCAATTTTTGCAAATTTCTTTAATTAAATTATTTCATAGAACTACTTTTTACAATAACATGGGTTTCACTATGCAAGACACCTGAAATCATTTATATACCTAGCAAATGATCCAAAAGTGAATTTTATGTGACAAAATTACGGCCATTTTGAAATATAAGCAAGATAAAATGGCGACCAATCAAAAGCAGGCGAGCTTTTAACCGGGAGTCATTGGAGGGTTTTTGGTTTTGATGTTGAACAAAAATATTTTAAAACTCTGCTAAATTTACTGTAACGTCAACAGAATCAAGTGACAATAATAATAGGTTGAAAAGCTCATGGTAAGACGATGCTAAAATCTTGACATGCTATCATCTCCAAAGGCAATTTTCACAAGGCACTGTGCTTAGTTGGACCATGGAGTGTGCCTTCTTTGCGCCCAGATGATGACTTGCGCCTAGATGAAAACCTCTGGCCACGCTACAAAAATGATTTCAAACCGTGGCCTAAAAAACTTGTCTCCTCTTAGATTCAGCCATTGGATGTTTTGAGTTAATTATCATCAAGTTTACAAAGGGTATTCTAATATAAGTGTGACATATGTAAAACCAAATAAATGTGAATCTTATAAGTAATTCTAAAATGTACCTTTATGCAGCCAGTAAAAACAACCATATAATCACTTCGCCTGCCCTATCAAGAGTGCCACTACATATATGTAGCTGTAGCAAAGAAAAGATAATTGGCTTGATTGCCTTGAATTCACTGTTGGCTATTTGACTGTACAATGAAGTTGACTGGCTTGCCTCAAAAGCATTTAAAGGCTAATGTCCAATTCAAGGGTGATGTTATTAAAAACATGGGTTACATAAGCACGGCTCAGTTTTAATGAGAACATAATTTGGCCCAAAGTCTGTATAAAATTTCAAATCCCTCTACAAAGTTCGATTTCTATGAGAGTACATAAGGCCGTGTACATGTATAAATCGATTTTCATTATTAACTTGTGTAAGCAAAATTGGAAGTAACCCCAGAGTTATTGTTGCACAGATCTCATGTATACATCATTTTGATTGGTAGAAGGTATTCTGGGATATCATATCTTCTTTCTCCAAGCATGAAAAATCTGAACTGAGAAATTCATTCCCACTTGCGCTGGAGAGTCTAAGAAATGAGAGCACTGCTACAGAGTATGAGACCTGTCAATCATTGTAATTATAAAAAGTTCAAAAGTTCAGTGTAGCCCAATAAGCCATATATTATCAGTTAAAGGAACAAAGTGCTTAAATGAAGTCTCACTTTTGATATTCATAGTATTTCCAATGGATACCTGATCTTTCATTTGACACCAAAAACAGCTCAAACAGACCACATCATGAGTCTAGCCTTGATAAATTGAATGATTTTGATAAACGTTTTGATTGTATAGCTGTCAGCAGTAAATCTTTAGACTCGTTAAACCAGGGTCACTGTATTGGTAATGGCGGGGTGGCTATTTTCTGGAGACGCTCATTGTCACCTTTTATTTATACACAAAAACGATTGACTTCAAGTGACAGAATTGTTATAATTAAAATTATGCAACCTGGTTTCAAAGCCCTGTACATTGTATCTGTATATTTGCCTCAACGTAACTGTAAAACATCCAATTTTGCAGATGTATTAGATGAGCTCGAAGATGTGATATTGACGATGAAACAAGACGGTGATGTACTGATTATTGGGGACTTAAATGTTAATCTAGGACCCCTGTATGGGGGTCGAGGTGCTGGTAAGATGAACAGTAACGGTGTATTGTTAAATGATATGTGTATTCGATGTAGTTTAAATGTGATTGACTTAACAGATAAGGGTTCTGGCCCAGAGTATACATATTATAGAGAAAATGTAGGAAGATCTTATATTGATCACTGCCTTGTTTCAGAAGAATA